ATATGAATCTTTTTTGCGTATTCAGTTTTCTTCACTCAGGTGACATCCCAGACCTCAGAATGCAGTGGTTCCCAGAAATCCCTCTGGCCACCTGGTCAGAGCAGTAGCAGAGGCCTCAGAAGCTTCCTGGCGGGAGGACAGGGGCGCTGACCACCAGGAGGTTACCCTGGCACTGGTCAGGAGGGAGCACTGAGCTGTGGGAGAAAGAGGAGAGGAATCGCAGGCACTGGGATGGGGCTCCTGTCTGCCAAGAAAGAAGATGGCTGGGGTCTGGGAGCCCCGGGGCACAAGCAGGGCAGGAGGGATGGCTGCAGCCCCACAGGGGGTGTATGGGGATGGGTGGGGTCTCCCCAGGCCGGTGGAGCGAGGCAGGCACGTACGCTGCCAGAAGAGAGGAAGAGGCTCGCCTCTGCTTGGAGTCCTGGGGATTCTGAGGCCTCAGATCCCTCTTGCTTTTGCCCCGAATCTAGCCAGACAGGCCAGTGTTGGTCCAGAGGAAGATGGGTGGGGAGCAAGGATAGTTCTGTGGGACACCTACCTGCCACCCCCCTCCAGGTGGAGCCCCACCCTATGTTCCAGCCCCTAGGCTGTGGCAGCCAGCTGGGGCAGTTATAGCACCCATCAGTATTCCATATAAACACCCCCCCTCAGACCGACCCCATCCTTACCAGAAGGGGATCCAAGCTAGTGTGGCTCGTTTTTTGCTACGTGGGACCACCTGATTAATGGTGGCCCTGAGGGGAGTGAGAGAAAACTGGCTGTGAATGCAAAATGGGCCTTCCCTCTGGGCCCCAGAGGCCCAGCGCTTCACTCCCTGAGGGACACGGAGGTACAGTGACTTGCCCAAGGTCACACGATGGTTTTGGCATCCTACTTTTTCTTTTTTTTTTTTTGCTTCTTTCTATCATATTTGTCTCTCTTGTTTGTGTTTGCAAAACTGACACAGAAAGATGAAGTGACACAGAGACAGACAAACCCCTTGATAGTAGCAGAGGATGTCCTGGGCACAGAAACATTCTCACACAAGGAGAGAGGTGACCAGCGCTGCTCTGGCCTGAGAAGAGCAGTGGGGGTAGCCAGGAGGAGGCGAGGACTGTGCCACAACGCTGCTGTCCTGTCTGCAGATGTCCTGTCTGCTGGCTGGAGGAAGCCCCTCGCTGGAGGTGGGCCTGAGGTGCAGACTCCCCTTCACCCAGCCCTGGGGGCTGGGCCTGGCCCTGAGGTCTAGCCAGGGCTCTCTGGGGGCCTGGGACTTGGACCAGGCAGGTAGGCTGGATCAGAGCTGCCTCTGGGCCTCCTGGCATGCCCTGGGGTTTAGTGACCAGAGGAGAAAGTGGGGGCTGGCTGGGTTTAGGGATGAACCAGACAGAAATCAGGGGTCCTCAGCCTGAAAGCTCCAGGTGGTCTCACTTCTCTCTCTCTCGCTCACACACACTCACACACACACACACACACACACACGCCCCAGTGTATGACGGTAATTTCATGTCACTAAGGAAAGCTTCATTGCTGGGGATATAGACGGCGGAAAGAGGTCTCTCCCTTCAGTCTGGTTTCCTTTGTTCCTCCCTCGCCTTCCTCCCTCTCCGCTTCCCGGCTTCCCTCCTCTTCTAGCCTCCTTCTTTCCATTCTCCCGCCCCCCCCCCCCCCCCCCCCGCGCTTCCCCCTCCTTCCCTCCTCCCCCCTCCCCCGGAGCTGTGTGCCCGCCGCGGGACCTCCGCAGAAGGCGGGAGGGTGGGACTCCAGACTACGGCCCCAGCCTTGGTGGCCATCCTCCTGCGGGGAAGGAGTTAAGTCTCTCCGCTGCATCCCTCCTCCCTCCTCCGCCCCCCGGCCTCCCCCCCCACCCCGCCGCCTTTGAGTCCTGCAGCTAGGCCCTGGGCTGACCTTCACCGGGAGGGAGGCCGCAGTGCGCATGCCCGGGCCCGGCTCCCGCCGCTGCCCGGTTACCGGGCGGGTGAGGGCGAGGGAGGCGGCCGCGGTCCCGGACGAGACCCCCAGCGCCTGGCCGCCGCCCGCTCGGGCGTCGTGGGGGGGCCGCCGAGCCCGTCCCGCCGGTCGCGGCGCATCTCTCCCTGCGCGGGGAGCGGCGCTTTGCCATTTGGTGCTGGTGGTGCTTCGGCGAGGGAAGGAGAGATGGGGGGACGGCAGGGGGGACTCCGGCTCCGGGCGGCCGCCCTCTGCCCGGACACGCGCACGGCCTGCCCGGAGCGCGGCCTGGGCCGGTCGGCCGAGCCTAAGGGCCGGGTTGAGCCGGGAGGAAGGGCCCCTGCCCGTTAGAATCGGGGCTTCCCCCGGGCCTCCTTCCCACCCGGCAGGACGCAGGAGCCGGCGGGCGGCATGGCACTGCTGAGCGCCCTTCTGGGGCTGAGCCGTTGGGGAGCCTGGCCTTTGTGAGGTGGGAGTCCTGGCCCGGGACACCCTCACTGGCGCCTCTGCTTTCTGGTCTTAAGGCTCCCCGGTGTCCGCACACCTAGGGTCGCCCCTGTAAAAGCATCATGCACAAGTGTCTGCTGGCTGAGGCCTTGCAAGCGGGCTGCATTGGTGATCACGTTGTGCCTGTGTGTGCAAATCCATGTGTCGCCTTGTTCCTCTGGTGTTTGCATTGGTGTGTGTGCCTGGGGGCAGGTATGCCCTATATATCTGTTGCCTGTATATGCTAAGGATGTCTCCCAGAGAGGGGGCTGCAGGGCAAGGCGCTCATCCGGGGGTGGCCCAGGAGGCTGTTATCTATGGACCTGAGCGATACTCACCTCCGTTGGCCTAACCGCCTCCTGCAGTCTCCCCCACCACGAAGACCAGCCCCTCACAGATGCCTGGTGTCCCCACCGTGCTGATGCACCCCCTCTGCTGTCTTCTTTTCCCAAAAGGCCTCTCCAAGCGTTGAGACCTCGGAGCTTTACATAAAGCCTAGAGGTGTCTGCCCCTGCCCCTGTCCCCCAGAACCTCCAAGGTGTCACATGTCCATGCTAGAAGCACCCACAGGGGGGCGGGGTGCCCATGGTGAGGCACAGCTTCAGGTAGGTGGCAGAGTATGAGCTCTGTCCACTGGGCCACTGAGCTTTGGGTGGTTGCAAGTGTTAGCAGGCATTGGTCACGTCCAGTCCCTGTGTGCAGGCACGGAGGGAGAGTGGCACTTAAGACCAGCCTCAGACTTCAGGGGGCGGCAGCCTATTTGGAAAGCCAAACATAACACACATGAAACGCAGGGAACGTGAGACATTAGTCAGTAGAGTGCCAGTTCATGGCCATGGTAGATTGCAGTGGGCATTCAGAGAACAGAAAGATCTGTGCACAGGAGTGGGACCAGGGAAGGCTTCCTGGAGGAGGTGGGGCCCAAGCCTGGCTTTAAAGAATGAATGTGATTAGGACAGGTGGAGGAGCAGCATGGGGATTCCAGGCAAAAGAGCAGGAGCAGAGGCTTGGGAATGAGAATGAGCAAGGGGTTTTGGAAGTTAGCGGAGAGACTGGAGAGGTTAGCTCCCCAGGTTACCAGCAGCCACCTTCATGGCCTATGGCAAACACCCACCCCTTCCCACCCCAGCAGGGCCCAGTCTCTGAGAGTGTGGGTCTGGCGGGGGGGTGGGTAAGCCTGGGTACAGATGTAGTAGGAAGGGGATCTCTAGGTCCCCTGCTAAGCTGGTGGTAGAGGAGGGGCATCGTGGACCACAGGCCCTCTCTAGCCTTTCAGGGGATTGACAGTGGGCACTTAAATGGATGGTGACAACCAGAAGCACAAGGGGGCCCAAGGAAATCAGGCTGCAGGCAAAAAAGGCTCTGTAGCCAGAACACTCCCTCTGTTCTTTGTCCTGACCTCTGAAGGCGTTCTGAAGGTTTGAGGGTCAGGACCACCCCACTGCACCCCGCCCCAGGGTAATGCTGGGTCTTCAGTATCTAACTTCAGATAAATTTCCCAACAAATTCCCCCAGGCACTGCCCCATCCTCACCTGGATACTGACAGTACAACCCCAGGAGGCCCATAAACTTGACCCACTCTGTCCCAAAGCCCTGGGGCTCTTCCTCCAGAAGGAGGAGAGAGGGGTGTGGCCTTGGGGGCATGGGCGGGGCCAGGGCTCCTGGCCTGGGGAATCTCAGGATTTGCCCCTCCTGTATCCTGTCCCTCCTTCGCCCCAGCGACTGCCAGCTCCCTCCACGCCACCCCTTCTGGGGCTCCCTTGTAGCCCCACCGCTACCCCTGCTTTCTCTGGGGTCTTGAGGCTCGCCCTCCCACACCCAGCGCCCCAGCTCCTCAGGGTCCCCTACCCCACCCCCGACTCCAGAGCCGTCGGGTCCTGCTCACCTCCCTCTGCCCCCGCCCCCCCGCCGTCCACGCCGGCTCCTGGCCTGCCCCCACAGCTTCTCTTCCTGTTCTCACGAGCCTGATCCACCTCCCTGTTTCCGAAATACCTCCCCTACTGCCCTCACTGTCTCACATAGAGACAAAGACTCACATGCCCCGAAATAGACTCACACAGGGCTGGGAGGCACAGACCGTGTCCCGCCACACACGCACACGCACACGCACGCACGCGCGCGCACCGGAGGCTCTCGTGGAGAGAGGCACACAGAGGAGGCATTTGTGTGTGCACGCACATAAACACCCACACCCACAGCCCCGAGCCGTGCCCACACGAGGGTGCAGACACACACGGCGGGTGAGACAAGGGCGCACACATCTGTGGACGCAGGGGCACCCCGCCTCCCGGGGCACACCCACGCCTGCCGCCCCGGTGCAGGAGAAAGGCCTCCTCCGGGCTCCGGCTCCCCCCGGATTCCTTCCAGCGAATGTTTCCCTACTTGGCCTGCCAGGTCTCTGGGGAAAGGGCCTCAGAAATGCAGCAGGAGCCACTTGGGGGCAAAGTTGGAACTGACTGTTCCCTGCCTGGCCCTGCCGGCGAATTCCCTAACCGAGAAACTATTTGCGGCGAGAGGCCGGGGGGCCGGCGAGCCCCCTGCCACCTCCCCTCGCGTCCCCTCCCCGCGCCGCCTCCCCGCGGCCCTCGGGCGGCCTCGGGCTGCAGTGCCGCTGCCCAGCGCCCGGGAGCCGGGCTGGCCGGCGTGCCTCGCCGCTTATCTGCGCTGTTTGGCCAGCGAGGGTTGGAAAGGCAGGCTTTTCTGTCCCCGCCGAGTCAACAGGCAGACCCCGGGCCGCCGGACTATTTCTGTCTTATCAGTGCAGGAATGCTGCAGCCGCGGCGGCGGCGGCGGCGGCGGCGGCGGCGGCGGCGGGCGGGCGGCGGCGGCGTGGGCCGTGGGCCGTCAGGGCAGCCCTGAAGGGGCCCCCTCCCCACTCCGCTCGAGTAGAAGTGTGAGAGAGCCCAGCAGGACTCAGAGGGGAGAGTTGGAGGAAAAAAAAAAAAGGCAGAAAAGGGGAAGAAAGAGGAAGAGAGAGAGAGAGAGAGAGAGTGAGAGGAGCCGCTGAGCCCACCCCGATGGCCGCGGACGAAGTTGCCGGAGGGGCGCGCAAAGCCACGAAAAGCAAACTTTTTGAGTTTCTGGTCCATGGGGTGGTGAGTGGGGGAAAGTTAGCGGGGGAGGGAGAGCGAGCTGGCTCGGGCTGAATGGAGGGATGGTCGGGAGGGGCCGGGAGGGGGGCTCCCGCTCTCCCACCCCTCTAGCGGGAGCGCCACGGCCCGCGGCCCAGCCCCAAGACTGTGCCGGCGCCCTGGCACCCGAACACGTCGTCAGGCGGTTGGCCGGGGATGGGTGCCCGGGCGGGGAAGGGAGGCGTTTGCAGGGGTTCCTGTCAGGGGCTGGGGGTGGGACTTGGGGACTGTACCCCCCAAGTGGGGGCTCCCCTAGGTACCCGACGTGTTGTCTTCCGTTCTTTTCCTTGTGGGCCCAGGTGTTACCCCTGCCCTGGGGGTGGGGGTGGGGGACATGGCATCGCTGGGCTGGGCTGTCTGTTAATCCGTTGGGACAGTGTTTCTCTGTGTCTCAGGAGCAAGGAGCAGGTGACCCTGTAGGCACTGTGAGCCGGAAGCCCTAGGGCTGAACAACCTCTGCATCCCGGCAGGAAGACTCTGGGGCTTTGCTGACGGCCTCTGCCATCAAGGCCAGAGAGAGGCCCTCTCTAGGGACAGACCCCAAGTTAAGGGATCTGAGGATCCCTCGGCAGACTCAGCCACCAGAAGCTGATGTCCCTAATGCCTCAAAGGTGTGAAGGAAGGGCTGGAGTCAGGGACGCGAGGCCTAGAGACCAAAGGGGCCGGGCAGCACCGTCCTGCCACAAGCAAGCTTAGAAGGTCCACCGGGAGCCTGAGGGAGCCCAGAGGACCGGAGAGGATGGGAATAGGTTGGAAGGGCAGTGGAATAGGAGAGGCAGGGGCTCCAGGACTTGGGATGGGTGCTGGTGCTGGAGCCCGATATAGAGGAGGCAGTCAGGTTTACAGTGGCCACATTTGGTTGTGACCCCAAGGAAGGCATGTTCTCAGCAAAAGAGGCCGGAGTCCCTAGAATTTTGGCCCTTCGTGTGGGTCGCCGATCCCTGGTGGCTGGCACAGCCCTCTGGGGGCTCTGGAAGTCTCCCTCTCAGGGCCTCTTCAGCAGATCAGTGAGTACCACTGGCCTTGTTAAGTGGGAGAGCATCTGATGGGGAAAGGGGCTTCCCCGGGGCAGCTGTCCTCCAGCCACTGGGCTCTCTGGGCTAACTTCCATGTCAGTCAGCCTAGAGACCAGTCCTAATGTTGCTGCCTGGGGAGTCCCTTTTAAAAGGCCCATCTAGGGGGAAGAGGGACTATACACGTGGATTTTTTATTTGGCCAACTTAGAGCTTCAGTTCTTGGGTGGCTGGGAGCCCCACTCCCAGTGGCCCATCTGTGCTGGTGGGGAATGGCCGGCGTGGGCCCCATTCTGGGCTGCCACCCTGGAGGTGTGAGTGACAGGGTCAGGTGGGGCAGGGGAGGCTGACACATGGACAGGCAGGTTTCACCGCAGAGGCGATGGGCAGAGACAGCTGGCTGGCTGGGGGTTAGGGTTAGACATAGCGCAGGCAGGAGGGACCGGAGGGAGAGTCGGCAGTTAGAAGGGATTCACCAAGCTCAGGATTAGGGCTCTGTTCCTGGGAGCAGCTGCACTCCTGGGGGTGAAGTGGGTGGTGCTCGAATGGTATCGGGGCACAGGGTCTGCAACCACCACTCGCTAAATCTCCTTCCTGCTCTCCAGCCCCCATCCCACCCAGCCTCCACTTGACAGCCCCTCAGACCCTCCCCAACCCCTCTTCTGAAATCTGGACAAGTGAGGTTTTAAAAGTCTGTGGGCCACTTCACTCAACACATTTGATGTCATCTACATCCCTGAGCACCGGGGTAGCGGCAAAGGAATACACCTGCCTCATCTCCCTCTCCGTGGCCCCCTGCGAACCCAGACTTCTGACCTCACTGGGGCAGAGTGGGGAGTACAGGCGGTCTGGAGGATGGGACCATCTCTGGTGATTCGGGTGGATGGGCAGGGAGAGATGGATATAAGAGGAAATGCTGCTACTTTTGACCTACCCAAGCCCTCTGTACCTCCCATCTCCAGTTAAGCCTCCCTCCACCCCCCCATCGGAGAATCCTGGTGAGGTCTGACCTCAGTCCCTCAGGTTGCCTCCAGCCTTCACCTTGAGAGCAAATTATGGGGATGGGCTACGTCAGCAAAGCCCCTGCCTGGGGAGGCTTGGAATCAGAGGAAGGGGGTGGGGATCAGGGCTGAGGCGTCAAAGGCAGGGGCCCAGAGAGAAGAGTGGGTTGAAGTGGGAAGGGTGAGTTCAAGGCAGGACAGCCCAGGAAATGGACTGGGAAGCAGGGAATGGGAAGAGGGGCAGCAGAAGTCCGAGCAGGGAGCCCAGCCCCTAAACTAAACGAAGCAGCAGAGAGCAAAAAGCCCCTCAGGAAACGGCCGCTCAGCGCTGCCTTCGCCGGGAGGAGCTGCATGACCTTGGCTAGGTTGCCTTTCTCCTTGAGCCGCGGTTGCCTCATCTGTCAAGTGGGGAGAGAAGGACCCGCTCCGACTGTCTTGCAGAGGAGCATGTGGATGTGAACATCCTTTAAAAAGGTTGAAAGGCGCCATTAATATTCATTTTCGCGGCACCTTCCGCAAATCCGAGGCTGGCAGTGCCCTGTGCAGTTGCCTGGCTTCAGTTAGCTTCCTGCAGCGAGACGCAAAGCCCCCCTCCGCCAAAGCTGCGCGGTTCCGGCGCCCCCGCCCACCCCTCGCTCGAGCCGTCGGCAGCAGGGTCACGGGCCGGGGGCTCGGGGTGGGAGAGACGCAGCTCACCGCGCCTGGAACAGGGACCCTGGTCTGACCGGCGGACGCCTGTGTCTGCTTCACCCCCGCCTCCCCAGCGCCCCGGGATGCCGTCTGGAGCCCGGATGCCCCACCAGGGGGCGCCCATGGGCCCCCCGGGCTCCCCGTACATGGGCAGCCCCGCCGTGCGACCCGGCCTGGCCCCCGCGGGCATGGAGCCCGCCCGCAAGCGAGCAGCGCCCCCGCCCGGCCAGAGCCAGGCCCAGAGCCAGGGCCAGCCGGTGCCCACCGCCCCCGCGCGGAGCCGCAGGTAAGAGGGGCCCAGAGCAGAGGGGGCGGACGCAGGACCCGCAGGGACGGGGTGGGCGAGGACCGGGATTGGAAGCGGGAGGAGAGCGATCGGCAGGGAACAGGCGTCCTGGGTGGGATGCCCTCCCGGGAGGCGGGCTGAGGGGGCACTGGTCTGGTTCCTTTGTGTGCCCACCGTAGAGACAGGCTGCGGCCGTCGCGCCCTTCTCCTTGTCACCTGCTCTGTCCCTCTCTCCACCCCAGTCCCCAGGTTCTGGGTGATGCTTCAGTCTTTGGGGTGCAGGCGGGCTGGCACCGGGACTGAGGGCAGAGCTTTAGACTGTGTTTCTTAGTGTGGTTGTCCAGGGTGCCTTCCTCAGAACCCGCTGGCTTGGCTGTTTAAAAGCCCCACTCCAGATCTTCTTCGTCTGAATCTCTGGCCAGGGGGGTGGAGCCTGGGGATGTGCCCCGTGGGTGGCCAGTCGCTGCCCCATTGTGCTCTCAGGTGATTCTTTATCAATCAAATGTTGAAGAGTTGCCACAATCTGTCCTCTGGATCAGGTCTGCCCCCAAACCATCAAGGGCCAGCCTATTTACTTGTCTGAGCCAGCTGGTGGCACCCCAAAAGCCCCTGCGCGTGCCTGGCAAGAGAGATACCCCTCTGGGTTTCACTATTTAGCCAAACACACATGCTTCCCTTTGCACACCAGATGGAGTCTTATAAAAGGTGCAATATGGATTTTACCGCATTATTAAATATTTTTTACATAGCAAGGAAAATTCACCATTTATAGGAATCCCATGATGAATTCTTTTGCAAAGTGAGTCATTCTTTTATACAGTAGAGAGTCCCTGATTTAGCTTGTATAAATGGAGAGTTTCACATAGATAATTTCTTCAAAACAAATCAGACCTTTAATGAAAACTGCTTGCCTAGCCTTAGAACAGATTTTTGGACAGAGAGGGGGCAGTGGTAGAGAACACCACAAGGGGGCAGTATGCAGCCGTCCTCTAGGCTGGGTTCTAATTTCTACTTGCCAAGGATTTTCTGGGGTGCTTTTGGGAGTCAGAAGCAGCTAGTGGATGGAGTCCAAGTCCCAGCTGCTACCCCAGGTCCAGCCACAGCCACACCCCTCAGGAGAACGTCCTATCCACTCTCCCTGGATACCTATGGGTGTGTCCCTGGACCCTGCTGGCAGGTGGCCCAAGGGCATGAGCACCTCCTGCCCATCAGTGTCCCCTTCCAAGCCCAGGGTGGCAGGGGTGCAAGTCCTCACCAGCTTCACACCATCATTTCCTGCTCCAGGGATGGGCCAGGGGTGTCAGCTCCCCTCCCTTTGAGCTCAGGCCACCTTGGACCGTGCACCCCTGCTTAGCAGAGAAAGAGTCCTCAGAATCCCTCCTCCCTCTCCTCTGTCCTCCCCTCTTCCCAGCTTTCCTCAAAGGCTTCTGCAGCTCCCCTACCCCCAGCCCCTTCTAAGTCTCATTTCGATGGCCCTGAGGATGTGGTGGAGCAGAAAGGGGCTCCCAGGCTGGAGAAAGGACGGGGTCACCTCTGCTCCCCCCTGAGAGGACAGAGCGCCAGTGCCACACACCAGCATCATAGCCCCTTGGGCAGGCAGACGAGCGGGCTATGGGAACCCCAGCCAGGCGGGCTGAGATGTCGGGATAATTTAGCAGGTGGCCTCGTTACTCCCAGATCTGTCGCCATGGTAACCTGGTTTTTTCTTTAAAAAATGTACAGTGCCAAGAGGAGGAAGATGGCTGACAAAATCCTCCCTCAAAGGGTGAGTGCCTTTCACAGCAGCCCCCAGCCCACCCCCCACCCTTTGCTGCTCCGCCCTCCTTCCCCCCTCCCCGCCACCCCGTGCCTCTTCCCCTCCCCCCTCAGGAGCTGCGCTTCAGCATCACAGTCACTTTCACTTTTTGTTCAAAAAGCTAATTAAGAAGTGAGGCTCCCCAGGCCAGAGGGAGGGGGTGGGGCGGAGGGAAGAAGCGGAGCCATAGGGTTAGGATACTGGGTCTGGGGTGCAGTAGGTTGAATTCCAGCGGTGTGAAGACATAAAAGCCTGGGACAAAGAGGAGAGGAGAGCTCGGGGATCACAGGCTGGCAGGGGGAGTGAAGGGCGCAGGCATCGTAAGAGGACCCAGGCCGAGCTAGCTAAGGAGTAGCATGGTTGAGCAGCCATGAGCCAGGGTAGAGGCAGGCAGCGACATCACCTGTCCCAGGGACGCCAGGGTCCGTCCTCTCCACTTTGCAGACACCCAAGGGAAACCCAGAGGCCGTGTGACAAGGCAGAGGACAAGACGAGGAGGTGAAGCCCTCGCGCTTGCTGGGCTCCCTGGGTGCTCTGGCTGCCCCTAGTGATGAGATGCACTGCTTCTCCCTAGTGGGAGAAGCAGTTTTTATCCCCACACGTCAAGGCCTTTATTGCTGGATTCGGAGTCCTGGGGAGAGCTCTCGCTCCTGCTCTCAAAGTTCCACGCCCTGAACCTCCTGGCCAGCTCCCCTCCACGCTCTTTGTGTCCTGGGACCACATGACGCACGCACATTCCACCTGCAAGGCTGGCTGAGCCCCTGGTTCCCAGCCTTGTTCCTCCTCTTCCAGATCCGGGAGCTGGTCCCAGAGTCCCAGGCTTACATGGACCTCCTGGCCTTTGAGAGGAAACTGGATCAAACCATCATGCGGAAGCGGGTGGACATCCAGGAGGCTCTGAAGAGGCCAATGAAGGTGCCTTGGCTTGGGGGCAGGAAGAGGGGGCTAAGTCCTATTCCCAGAATGGAGAAGCGGGCTCGCGCTGGGGCTTGGCTCTGTACTACGCTCTTTATTTCTACAGCAAAAGCGGAAGCTGCGTCTTTATATCTCCAACACTTTTAACCCTGCGAAGCCCGATGCTGAGGATTCTGATGGCAGCATTGCCTCCTGGGAGCTGCGGGTGGAGGGGAAGCTCCTGGATGACGTACGTCCTGGCCCAGGTCTCTCCAGGTGTCCTGGGGTGGGTATGGGGCTGAGCCCAGGACAGTACCAGACTGCCAGCACTCAGGGCTAGGAAGTCGGCCCTGGCCGGGGTTGGGGGGGGACGGGGGCGGGGGTCTAGAGAGACGTCTGGCTGGAGGCCTGCTTCTGACTGTGCCACCCTGCCCAACCAGCCCCCCCACCACACCCTGCTCCCAACTCATTCTGCCCCGACGGTCCCTGTTCTGCCCCCACGGTCCGCTCCTCTCCCACAGCCCAGCAAGCAGAAGCGGAAGTTTTCTTCCTTCTTCAAGAGTTTGGTCATTGAGCTGGACAAAGACCTTTACGGCCCTGACAACCACCTAGTGGAGGTAAGACCCAGACCCCCTCTGCCCTTGAACCTGCCCGCCTTCCACACACCACAGTCCCGTCAGCTGCACAGGTTTGGATGAGGGAGCCCCCGCCACCAGGGCTCTAGCCCCACCAGCTCGGTTGGGCCTGTGAGGTGAGCCGGCTCTTATCCCCTGGACAGTGGCACCGGACGCCTACCACGCAGGAGACGGATGGGTTCCAGGTGAAGAGGCCGGGGGACTTGAGCGTGCGCTGCACGCTGCTCCTGATGCTGGACTACCAGGTGTGTGCCCCACCCCCCAGACACCACATGAGGCCCTCAGACCCCCACGCCCTTTCTTCTAGATGGGGCAGGCCTCGGCCTCAAAGGTGCACATCCTGAGAGATCCCGTTCTCCTCCCTACCCCTCCCTCTCCAGAGCACGTTTCTGAGAAGCCCAGGCACCGCATCCGCGCTGAGTCCCAAGCCGCCTGGCCCTGAGCGCTTTCCACTCTCTCTCTTTTACCTCATTTTCATGGTCACCTTTTCCTAGCCTCCCCAGTTCAAACTGGATCCCCGCCTGGCCCGCCTGCTGGGGTTGCACACACAGAGCCGCTCAGCCATCGTCCAGGCCCTGTGGCAGTACGTGAAGACCAACAGGCTGCAGGACTCGCACGACAAGGAATACATCAACGGGGACAAGTATTTCCAGCAGGTACCCTCTCCCCTGAGCCCGGGGCCCCGGGGAGCAGGCAGAGTTACCGGTAGGGGAAGTGCCCCTACTAAGGTGACACCCCCCACTCCCTTCTCGACTCCGTCGGAAACGGTCTCGGAGCCAGAGACCAGGGTTCTAGTCCAGGCTCTGCCATGGCACAGCTCTGTGCGGTGGCCCACCCATCGTAGCCACCCCAGGTGAGGAAGACCTGGAACCCCAGGAGGCCAACAGCTTTGGGGAACACATTCTTGTCACTTGGAATTAGGATCCCCGAGTTCTAGTCCTGGGTCTAGACTCTGGGTAGATTACTTAGCTATTTTGAGCCTTGTTCCTTATCCCTACAACAGGGTGATAACAATACCTGTCCCATCTAGCCCACCGGGCAGTTAGGAGAATCAGATTGCTGTGGAAGTGATTTGACAAGAGTTCTACCAAACTAGAGATTATTAATAATATTTTTAATAATAATTTTTAAATAAATACAACAGATAGACCTTAGTAAAAATAACAGTTGATATTTATTGAGTACTTAACCACATGCCGAGCACGTTCCAAGCACTTCATGTGTAACGGACTCATTTAATTCTAACAACCCCTTGAGATAGATACCATTACCATCCCCTTTCCAGAGATGAAGAAACTCAGGAGGAGATGTTAAGTAAGTTGCTCAGGGTTGCACAGTGAGCGGTGGAAGCAGGACTTACACCCGGGCCGGCCGACCCAGGGCCTGTGCTCTCACCCACGCGCTGCACACCCCTCCCCGTCAGCGGTCCTCTGGTCACAGCCCACCTGGCCCCAGCCCCATGAGCACTGGCTTCTCGTGGCCTTTTCAGAATGGAAACTATGCTCTTTCAAGCACAGAAGAGCGATCTCTCTCTCCCACTTCAGATTTTTGATTGTCCCCGGCTGAAGTTTTCTGAGATTCCCCAGCGCCTCACAGCTCTGCTATTGCCCCCTGACCCAATTGTCATCAACCACGTCATCAGGTGAGGCCCCCGGCTGCTCCTCAGAACAGGGAATCTCTGTGGTGGTCCTGCCCTCCCTGCCCCTCCTTCTGCCTCCCCCCCCACACACACCGCCCATCCCCTCTGCTTCGGGCCCCAGCGCCCTTGGCCTCTGTGGGGGCGGCATGGACGCCAAGGGTTGGACTCCCCTGGCAGCGTGGACCCATCAGACCAGAAGAAGACGGCGTGCTATGACATTGATGTGGAGGTAGAGGAGCCACTGAAGGGACAGATGAGCAGCTTCCTCCTGTCCACAGCCAACCAGCAGGAGATCAGCGCCCTGGACAGTAAGGTGGGGCCAGAGCCCAGAGCTGGAGTGGGACGTTAACCCAAAAGTGACAGAAGTACAGACAAAACAGACAAGAACGTGGGCCTATGGAGAGAGGAAGGGGAGGTGGCCCTTCCCTCGCTACTTGGAGCTCCGCCCATCCCCCTTTCCCTGGGACTGCCTGAGCATCAGGGACCTGAGGGATTGCCCTTCAAAGGCACAACAGCAAACCCCTTCCCCACCCCTGTACCGCACCCCCCCCCCTCGTTTCCCTTCCTCTCACACATCAGCACGGCCAGGTGAAAGCCTCTGTCTTTCTACCTGTAGATCCATGAGACGATTGAGTCCATAAACCAGCTCAAGATCCAGAGGGACTTCATGCTAAGCTTCTCCAGAGACCCCAAAGGCTACATCCAAGACCTCCTCCGCTCCCAGAGCCGGGACCTCAAGGTGAAGGGGACTCAGGGAGCACTGGATGGAAGACAAGCACATCGGGAAGACAGTAAACGTTGTTCACAGGGGCTGGAGGGGGTCCGGGCTCAGGGCTGATCCCACTGCTCCCTCCCAGGTGATGACAGATGTGGCAGGCAACCCTGAGGAGGAGCGCCGGGCTGAGTTCTACCACCAGCCCTGGTCCCAGGAAGCCGTCAGCCGCTACTTCTACTGCAAGGTGTGAAGGGCCCCCCGCAGGCCTCCGCCACCGCTCCCGGATGCCCCTCCAGGGCGGGTGGGGTCCTGTCACTCACCAGCAGCAGGTAACCTGCTCCTGCTCTCACTCCGCTACAGATCCAGCAGCGCAGGCAGGAGCTGGAGCAGTCCCTGGTTGTGCGCAACACCTAGGAGCCTTGTGCGAGCACCAAACACCAATGCGGGCCTCAGGCCCTGCCCTGTGCCCTAGGGCTCTGCCATCACTCGGACAGACGCCTCGCCTCACCTCTCTCGCCTCTCTCGGGTGAGGCAGGGACTGGATTAAAGGTGTTCACCTGATAACAGCTGTGTGGTCATTGGTAACTGGGGAGGGAGGAGGCAGGGGAGGGCAGTGGGTCCCTCTGGGAAACTCCCCACCCCCTCCCTCAGAGTCTTCTTACTCCATTTTCCCTAGACCTAGAAACAGTTCGGCAGAAGACACTTTTAATGACATTTTCTTATTCGGAAATACAGCAACAAGCCCTCCACCTGTCCATCCGTGTTGCCCCGCCTTGCCGGGGCCAAGGCCGAAGGGCCCTAAGTGGGGGCGCGGGGCCCCGGGCCACGCTACGTGCTATTGGCCTGCTCCTGCTCGAACAGAGCCACAGCGAGCTGCGCGCGGGCCCCCAGCCCCTCCAGGGTACTCAGGCGGCAGCGGTGGTAGAGCTCCTCGCTGAGCCGAGGGCTGCAGTCACGCACGGAGAACTTCTGCACCAGCCCTGGCTCCACGGCCCGGAAAAGGTGGAGCCCTGAGAACCGGAGGAAAACATCCATCACCTCCAGCCCCTCCAGGGCTTCCTCCTCTTCCTGGCCCGCCAGCTCACCAGCCAGCCGGGCTCGGGCCGCCAGGTAGTCAGCGTTGTAGAAGCAGCCCTCTGCGGAAGCCTGTCGGTCAAACCTGCCCCCAAGGGGAGCCCCCCGGGCAGGCTCAGCACCAGGAGGGGACGGGGGGTCGGGGCCGGCCCCCGGGGGCCCTTGGGGAGATCTCTGTGGTGCCAGGGCGGGGCTGAACTCCTGGAAGTGGACCGGGAAGAAGGCCTGCCAGCCGGAGATGGCGTTCATGCGGCAGCGGTTGAGGACCTCGGGCCCGGGCCTGGTCCACACGGTGGCGAGGAAGAAGAGCGTGTCCACGGGGTGCTTCTTAGAGACCACGTCCAGGAGCCGCACCTGGGAAGGGGCCTCCGCGCGCACAGCGAGCCAGGCCAGCCTCGTCCCAGGGTACCGTCGTTCCAACTCAGCCGCTGCAGCCTTCACCCCAAGAAACGGGTCCGGGGCCCCTCGGCCCCCTTCCCGCGGCCCATAGACCAGCAGCAGGGTGAGTAGGGCATGCTCTCGCGGCTCCAGGACACCGGCTGCAAAGGCCTCCAGGAACGCAGGGGCCGCGGCGGCTTCAGCCACCAGCAGCGGCAGCACCAGCTGCACGCGGGTGGCCTCGGTGACGTAGGGCATGGGGAGGATCTCCACCCGGCTCAGGGGCCGCAGCAGGCTGACCCTGCGGGCCAGGGCCCGCCGGTGCCCGCGCTGCGTCACGGCTTCCAGCAGCAGGTCCAGGGTGTACTCCATGCCCCGCGCTGGGTCAAAGCGCCGGTAGCCGTTGAGAAGCCGCTGCTTCTGGAAGCGCAGGCGGGGCTGATAGCGCCGATTCAGCTGCTCCAAAGCAGTCTCCACGGCGTCGCCCACATCTGCCCTGCTAGCCCCTTGCAGTGGGCACTTGGGGGCCCCGTCTGCACAGGAGAAGGTGTGCTGCTCTGTGAAGTAGTCCCAGCCCAGCACCTCAAACCGAGAGTGTGGTGTAAAAGGGGCCGGGAGCCCAATGGGCCAGCTCAGGCCTGCCTCCCCCTCAGGGGTCAGCACGGTCAGGTTCCGGATCTGAGCCTGGGTGGGAGGGACGCCCAGTTAGTGCCCCGCTAGGCAGTCAGGACCCTACCCCACTCCGGCGTCCCGGGGCCTGAGGTCTGCCCTGACCCCAGTAGCACTGAGGCTCATCGCTTAATTCCCTGTACTCTACATTCTTTAATCGGGAAGGTGCAGCAGGCATTCGAGTCACAGCCGCCTTTCACAACTGCTGTGAGGAGGCGGCGGTGGGAAACGTGCTTTCCTGGAGGTTAAAGCACCCTGAAATCTAAAGCTGGGCAGTCTTTCTCTTCCATACTCAAAGCACTCGCGCTCTCTTCACAAAGAGCCCTTTGTTTTCACCTGTACCCCACCTCAGACAACCCCCGCGGTCAAGCAGACAGTTCCTCTACCTTCTGCCCTTGGACCGTCTAAGAGCGGTGCTGGAGGTTCAGGGACTTCTAGGTTTTTGCCTCCTTGCTGGAGAGGAATTAAAACTATTCTGTCAGGACTTCCCTGGTGGTTAAGACTCCGAGCTTCCACTGCAGGGGGCACGGGTTTGGTCCCTGCTCGGGGAACTAGGATCCTGCGAGCTGCGCAGGGGGGCCAAAAAATTCAAAAATTAAAAAAACACTATTCTTAGACTCCAATAAAGATGTTAAAAACAAACATTAATTCACTTAACTTATATAAAACTCAAAAAACAAAAACCCCAAACCCCCCCCCCCAAAAAAAAAAAAAAACACAAACCACTCTTCTATCTAAGCACTCTACCAAGCCCGCTCCTCAGAGCTCACCTGCAAACCCTTTTGAGTGCATCCAAGTCATGCCAGGAGCTTTGATGATCTTATGACTGACCTGGACCCCCCAGGGCCCCTTCTCCCTGGAGTCGTTTTAAATCGGGGTATGGTCAGCCTCCTTCTACTTCACCCAGCCTCCCCTCCCACGCATCATAAGCCTGGACGCCTGAAGCTCCCTGTGACTTCCAACCCTGGTCCCAGGCTCACCTGCAGCTGTTCTATTTCACTGTACGTTCGTTCCAGCTCCAGAGCACTGAAGCGCTTGTGGAGCCGGTACATGAGGGTTCCCTCGGAGACAGGGTGCACCGCAAAAGCACTCAGGAAAGCCGAGCTCCCCTCCTTCTCGGGGTCCCTATTTTTGGCCAGTTCAAACGAGCGATACTGCTGCCCCTAGAGGACCAATGAGACCAATCAATGCCACACAGGGAGGGCTGCCCGGCCTGACCACCCTCGACCACGCTCAGCATTCACACCTATTACTGCCACTGCCGCAGAAGCGGGGAAGGCACAGGAGCTCATTCTGGTGTCCCCTCAACCTCAGCCTTACTCTCACCAACGGATTTTGGAAAAGAGAGTGCTAGCTAGGCAACTAAGGATGCCCTAGCCCCCGCCCCGCCCCAGCAAAGAACCCCACTGTTCCTCAGAAGAATGAAAGCCGAAAGCCAGCAGATACTCCCAATACCCTGGTCTGGGAGGAGGGGCCCCTCTGGCATCGTCCCCTCTTCACCAACCAAAAGGGAGGTTCCTGGGCTACCTTACCCCTCCAGGAGAGTGGCCATCTCTAGGACACTCCCAGATCATTGGTGACTGCGCAAGTGTCGGGGAAGGGGCGGAAGGCAAGGGGCCAGGTGGGAGGACTGGTAAGGGGCACCTTTCTGGCTTGCTCGGAGGGTCCCTGACAAGATGCCGCTTTTGACGGCCCTAGGGATCTAAGACTGTCAGAGGTGAGCAAGGGAGAGCTAGAGGGGTGATCGGGGCTGGAAAAGGCACAACGACAGCCCCGAGGTGCCGCTGGGAAAGCGCCACAGCACCCAGCCTCGAGGCCAATCGCTCGGTCACTAACTTGTCGGGGACCGGGATTAACTCGAAAGGGCTGTCACCTGGTGCTGTGAGACACAGCCGATGCCCAGAGAGTCAATGAGGCAGCGGCCAAGCCACTCATCAGGACGGGCACTGAGGATGTCTCCTCGGCAGCCATCCAGATGTGGCCACAATCGAAGCAGGAGGCTCCGTGACAACAGGTAGCCAAAGCCCCCGTGGCAGTATCGGGCCTGCTCGCCTGCGCCAATGAACTCCTCCGTCCGGCCCAGGTACAGGTCTTGGTTGATACTGAGGTGGCCAGCCAGGGCTGCCAGGCGGGGGGCCTGCACATACGTGTCATCCTGCATGACGAAGAACCAGTCGTAGTCGGCCCCAAAGTGTGTGTGAAGATGGCGCAGGGTCTCGGACATGAGCCAGGCTGGCCGTTCGTCCCCGTGAGATACCACCTGCATCCCTGCCGGAGTCCGGGCCCCTCGCTGCCCAGTGAAGTAGAGTAACCGAGGGAAGTGGTGAGCCACCGTGCGGTTCACAGCCACAGCCAGAGTGGACAGTGTGGCCCGGGAGGTCAGGACAGCCACCAGCAACCGCTCGCGAGAGCCCAGCTCTGTCTGGATGTACCGAGTCCTGTAGGGAGACCAGCATGCCAAGGGTCAACTCCCTAGTCTTTAGGAACACTCAGTGTGTCCAGCATATACATCCCCCTAGGAATTAGTGAGTTGGAGTTGAGAAAAGAGAAGGGACAGACCTCCTCATCCATATTAATGAGCTACTGGAGTGAGCATCCACTGAGTAGCCGACACTGGGACTGATTTGGGGAGAGGTCAACCAAGGCTGGATGGGATGGGTTAGATGCAATTCCTGCCCTGTTGAAGAACATCCAACCACTAATTTAACACCAATGGGTGAGGCTTTCTCAGACCTGAGAAGGAGGAAGAAACTGGACCAAACCCTGATGGATAACAAGGCAAAGAATTGCTTCAAGGAGCCTACAATGATTACCAGTGAAGGCAGAGGCAAGGGCTTGGAGCAACCCTAAACCGGGGTCTGGGAACTATGCACACACATAACTCTCACCTGAGCACCTTCTTGTAGGGCTTGTTGGGATCCCTGTAGTAGGGGACAATCCGGGGTTTGAAGTCTTCATCACTTTGGTCAAGCTGAGTTCCTGAGTCTAGATTCTGTGGCCCTCCTGGTTCCCCCACAGCCACTACACAGGGATCTTCTCCCTCACCCTGGATCCAGGAAACCCGCAAGAGGCTCAGGCTGCACCCCAGAGACAGCCCTAGGATGAGGGGCAGTGCTGGTTGCAGCAGAGCCAACACTGAGCTCAGTCGCATGGCGGTGGGCCCTGCCATGTGTGTGCCCCAGAGGGCACGGCCTCAAGGATCGATCAGTGGGTAAATGGGCACCTGGCCGGGAGTAGGTCTGCAGTTTTAACAAGGGAACCTGGGGTCAATGAGGTCAACAAGAGAACAAGGCGTGTTTGCTTCCAGGCCCAGTATCCCCGGGAAATGTCTGCCTGGCCTTCCGTTGTCAAGGTGCTGGATCTAACCCTCAATCCAAATAGTAAATATTCGAATCAATTTCACCCACTAATGGTGAGGCTTCCAGTAAAAGCGAGAGGAAATAAAACTCAATCCTGTCAAACCTAACCCCAAAAGGACTACATACATCTGAAGACTGGATCTAAGCCAAGAGATGGCAGCAACTGATAAAGATGGGCTTGGGGAAAAGCACATGCTCCATCAACACAACAACCCCCGGCGAGAGGAACCTAACTCCACAGGCCTTTCCCAAGAAGCGCCTGGCGGGGGCACGTCTCAGTTTACTGCAGGGGCTGCCGACTGGCTGCTGAAGGCCAGCGCCGGGATGGGGTCAGGGCCTTTCCACTCTATTCCCGAGTGTTAAGGAGACATCTGGCTAGGGTACCCACCCCTCCCGGCAGTCAGGAGTGGTCAGGAGCCACTGGCACCGCGCACAGAAGTTCTGCCCACCTAATGAGGTGGACGGAGGATATGGTGACTCAACACGAAGAGCCTCTCAGAGGAGCACAATGGCTGATGGAGCCACTGTGCAGGGCGTTCTTCTCTGAATCACCGCTGCTGAGAGGCTGGTGCTACCTGACAGTAACCCCGGCCGCGTAAGAGCGATTCGGTGTTTGGTTTTACCAGAGCCCCGGGTACCCAAACCGAACCAAACCAAACCGAGAAGAGAAGCAGCTAGCGACAACGCAGGGATCCTGAGAAGGCACACGGATGCCCGGCGCCCCTGTCTACCTCTCAGCAATCAAGAGCAACTCTAGTGCTAGAAAGAAGGCCCAAAGCGAGTGTTAGCCGCTAGTCTCACAACAGAAATAAAACTGGCTGCGTCACGGGGCTGTACAGGAGGGGCAGGGAGACCCCGTTCGTTCTGGCGACGGGAATGGAGGTCGCGGCGGGGAGAGGAGGGCAAAGACTCCGTTCTCAGGCCCGTCAGCGGGGGCAAAAGCCCTGCCTGCGCCAGTGGGCGAAGGACAACGAGGGACACCGCGAGGCCCACAGGGGGAGTCCCCTGCAGCCGGGCCAGGGGCGGCGGCGTGCGGATAACGAGCGGCCGGGGTATGGCGGCCGCGGCCAGCCGGGTCCCGGGGAGTCGGGGTGAAGGCGTGGGGCTGGGACGTGCTCCTGTCCTCCGGAGCGGTGCCCCCGACGCCCCTTGCAGGGGTAGGGCGGGGAAGGGGGAACAGACCCCAGGGCCCGAGGCGCCGGCTCCGCCGCTGCAGCCGCTGCCACCTCACAGCCTGGCCCGTTCCTTCCTCTTCCGCTCGCTGTCAGTCCCCGTCTCTATGGTGACCGCATCCGGCCGCTCGCTCCGCCGCCGCCCTCTCTGTGGTCGTCCCGCCCCCTCTCTGCGCCGCGTAGCCGCTGTGGGGTGACGTGGTCGTCCCGCCAGCCCCCCGACCCCCAACAATAGGCGTGCGCTCCGCAGACGCTAATGCGAGTGAACCCAGCACGGACCCAAAGGTGACGCAAGCTTCAACCTCAACTCCCTTCTGCCCTAGAAAAAATTACTCTCCCTCAGTGAGCGCGCTTCTGCCTCCTTGGACGACTGTTCCCAATGGGCTTCCCGAACCCCATCACCCACTCAGTTATTTCAGAAATGTTTGTTTGCCTACTAAGTTCCAGATCATCGTAAAGGAGTGGTAGACGAGGTGGGCATGGTCCCTGCCCTCAGGTAGCTGAGAGTTGCGGGAGACAGGCATTAAAGACACATTGACAAAAAAAGTATAAATTTAGGTGGAAGTCACAAACTGTCATAAGAACCATTGCAGAAAAGTAGACTCCAGTGGAGAAACAGGACAGGAAGAATTAGACTGAGAATTTGGGAATCCTGAGATCCAAAGGTTCAGTAAATTACCCAGACAAAAAGTGAAGAGGAGTTTTCCAGGCAAAGAGAACACAGAAGGCCCTGAACAAGGAAGAGATTGGCCCAGAGAACTGGGAAGGCCAAAGCCGCTAAAGCCTGGTGAGTGAGGGGAAAACAGGTCAAGGGAGGCTGGAAGGCAGGCGGGGCCTTCAAACAAGTATGGTGGGTTCCCACCCAGGACGGCACATCCCTAGGGAGCAAGTTGTCAGATGGTTGAGGGGAGGCGCAAGAATGCTAGATGTCTTATGCATTGCAAGATCGTATCACACTAGAAAGAATTATCTGTCCTACATAGCTTTCTTTGTTTTTTGTTTTTGTTTTTTTTTTCCAGCCGCGCCGCGGGGCATGCAGGGTCTTAGTTCCCCAACCAGGGATTCAACCTGCGCCCCCTGCAGTGGAAGCCCAGAGTCTTAACCTCTGGACCCTCCAGGGAAGTCCCTGTCCTACGTAGCTTTCAAATATGTCCTACTGAACAATCTTGTTAGTGAAAAAAAAAAAAAAAAAGCTTCCAATCATCTAATCCTTGAGCCTGTGTTTTATATATAAAAATTAAGTAATTTTGCAGGGTTGTAATACGTGCTGAATTTTCAAGGAATGGAACTATCATGAAAATGGAAGGAACATTGTACTTTCATTTTGTCCAGGAATGTACTTGTTAACATTTTGGAGAACTGTATCATGCACAGCAATGTCATTCATAGTGTTGTGTCTGCATTTGTACTGTCACATTCAAGCTGGTACTACATTAGGTACAAGCGTCTGACTAATGATGTTTTCTAGCATACTGAAATAACATTATTCTTTTATTATAAAGGATTTCCTTTTCTTCTTGCTGTTGTCATTGCACTGTAATTTTTTGAAATTTATGTGTGTAGTTAAGTTACGTGACATACGAACTTTATTTCAAAACAGGAAGGGGGTGTTCCTTGAAAAGTTTGTTATTAAAAGGGAACATTGGGGTTGGTAGAGTCAAGAACCCATATAGGAGGCACATGAGATGGAATGCACCAGCCCCTTTACCCTTTACTGTGTTTTGGTCTTATCCTCAGATAGACAGCAATTTGATCTCCCCTCAGCAACTGGCACATAATAGGTGGTAAATGAATGGCTTGTTAGAAGACTCTGGGAAGCATAGTAGAAACACTCATCTAGAGGTTGAAAGATACAGGTTCCAGACCAGCATTGTCCAATGGAAATACAATGTGAGGGACTTCCCTGGTGGTCCAGTGGCTAAGACTCCGAGCTCCCAATGCAGGGGGCCCGGGTTTGATCCCTGATTAGGGAACTAGATCCCGCGTGCCACAGCTAAGACCTGATGCAGCCAAATAAATAAATAAAAATATTAAAAAAAGAAAGAAATACAACGTGGGCTGCATATGTAAATTTTAAATATTCTGGTGGCCACATTTTAAAGTATTTATTTATTTAATTGAAGTATATGAAGTTGATTTACAATGTTGTGTTAGTTTCAGGCATACAGCAAAGTGATTCATTTAGATATAGATATATTCTTTTTCAAATTCTTTCCCATTATAGGTTATTACAAGATAATGAATATAGTTCCCTGTGCTCTACAGTAGGTCCTTGTTGTTTATCTATTTTATATACAGTGGTGTGTATCCCAAATTCCTAATTTATCCCTCCCACCCCTTTCCCCTTTGGTAACCATAAATTTGTTTTCTATGTTTGTGAGCCTGTTTCTGTTTTGTAAATAAATTCACTTGTATCATTTTGTTATTCCACATATAACTGATATCATATGATATTTGTCTTTCTCTGTCTGACTTCATTTAGTATGATAATCTCTAGGTGTATCCATGTTGCTGCAAATGGCAATATTTTTTAAAAATTTATTTTATTGAAGTATAGTTGATTTACAGTGTTGTGTTAATTTCTGCTGTACAGAAAAGTGATTCAGTTTTAAATATGTATATATTTATTTATATATATATAAAATAAAAAAATAAAATAAAAATATAAAAATAAAAAAATAAATATATTTATATTTATACATTCTTTTCATAGTCCTTTTCATTAGGGTTTATCACAGGAGATTGAATATAGTTCCCTGTGCTATACAATAGGACCTTGTTGTTTTTTCAGTCTGTATATACAGGTTTGCATCTGCTAATCCTAAACTCCCAATCCATGCCTCCCCCGCCCACCCTCCCCTTGGCAACCACAAGTCTGTTTTCTATGTCTGTGAATCTGTTTCTGTTTTATAGGTAAGTTCATTTGTGTCATATTTTAGGTTCCACATATAAGTGATATCATATGGTATTTGTCTTTCTGACTTACTTCTCTTAGTGTGATAATCTCTAGGTCCATCCATGTTGCCACAAATGGCATTATTTCATTCTTTTTTATGGCTGAGTAGTATTCCATTGTATATATGTACCCCATTTTTTTATCCTGCAAATGGCAATATTTCATTTTTTATGGCTGAGTAATATATATATATATATATATATGCCACATCTTTTTTATCCATTCATCTGTTGATGGACACTTAGGTTGCTTCCATGTCTTGGCTATTGTAAATAGTGCTGCTATGAACATTGGGGTGCATGTATCTTTTCAAATTAGAGTTGTCATCTTTTCTGGATATGTGCCCAGGATTGGGATTGCTGGATCATATGGTAATTCTATTTTTAGTTTTTTAAGGAACCTCCATACTGTTTTCCATAGTGGCTGCACCAATTTACATTCCTACCAGCAGTGTAGGAGGGTCCCCTTTTCTCCACACCTCTCCAGCATTTCTTATTTGTAGATTTTTTGATGGTGGCCATTCTGACTGGTGTGAAGTGATACCTCATAGTAGTTTTGACTTGCATTTCTCTAATAGTTAGCGATGTTAAGCATCTTTTCATGTGGCCACAGTTTTTTAAAAAGCAAAATGAAACAGGTGAAATTAATTTTAATAATATATTTTATAGTATTAAATATATCCCAAATGTTAACTCTTCAACGTGTAATCAATATAAAAAATTGAGATATTTTTCATTCTTTTTCTTTTCCACATGCAATCTTTGAAATCCAATGCCTATTTCACACAGCATATCTCAGTTCAGACTAGCCACATTTCAAGTGTTCTGTAGCCACATCTAGCTAGAGGCTACCACATTGAACAGCAAAGTTCTAGACCTTTCTCAGTTACTAAGTTTCTAGGTAATTCTGGATGAGACATTTCCTCCCTTGGGTCTCAGTTTCTTCATTATTTTAAATGAAGAGTCTGGACTCTTCATTTCCTGCTTCCAGCACTGATCTTCTGTAATTGTTCATATTTAGCTAGTCCTTTTCTCCTTCCTCTCTCCCTCTTATTTCCCCGTTTCTTCTCCCTTCATGCCCAGGTCTGTTCCCTGCAAGAGACCTAAACCCTGGATGAGAATGACAGAACTTCTTACTTTTCTAGGCCACTCTTGATGTGCTGAAGGAGACTTTGCCCAGCAACGGTCAATTCATGGGAAATCATGGATGTGATAGGTGGAGTCAGAGAAGGAACTGGTTAGCCCTTGCCGTCCCAAGTCACTTTACAGAGCTGGAGTCCCAGAACCGGAAGATTTGAGCTTCAAGCCTGGCCATGTTTCCTCCCAGCAGTGTTGTTTTATTAACAGCGCCGTGCCTGTATTTCCAATCTGTAAAATGCTATTAATACCCACCTTAGCGTCTGTTGGGGGGATTAAATGTGATGGCATAAATGAAAGAGTATAATTAATTTTAGGTCTCTGTAACCTGAAACCTGCCTGTGACCACGCATTTTAATGAGGCTGGGAGAGGCAGGCGTGTTGTAGACCTCCCAGGAGGCTAGATGCTTGGATAAGCAATTTTATGTGATCCACAATCATATATAACTTCCTTGTTTCCTAAAGAAGGGCTTTGCAGGCAGTTGACTATTGTCTGTATATCTCTTTACCTAAAACAATGCTTTTGCCCCTATGGCACTTATCACCTGAATGTCACGATCTGTGTCCTTTTAAAATTTTCCATCTCGTCGGCTGAAAAAAAAATGCACAACATGAGAGTTGTGAGTTAAGTTTTATTTGGGGCCTAATGAGGACTATAGCCTGGGAGCCTCTCAGATAGCTCTGAGAAACTGCTCTGAAGAGGTGGAGGACGTCAGTATATATATGATTTTACTGAAGGGGGGCTATTTGTAATCAGTCACACACTTTGGCAGGTTACTGCTAGTCACAAGGAGCAAATGCCTCCGTTAATGATTTTAGTGTTTTTCTAGATATGAGGAGTTGCAAGAAATTGGGCTCATAAAATCTTCTCCAGAAAATATCTGAAGGCCTGTTCTGCCAGTTTTTCCCAGAGCACAGAGTGCCTCATTCCTGATCTCGGCCCTGAACTCCTTTCAGGGTGTGTGGAAGGTCAGTGACTGCAGTGGCTAGTGACT